CCGAAGACTCGAATCGATGCACAACGCTCCAAAACTAGTCAATAATTATGTAAACCCATTAATATATGCTAAGGTACTCATTATAATCCAATCTATAACAATTCCTAACCCCGATCGAAAAGTTGACAAAAACGCCCTCGGGCCCACGTGCCCGGAATCCGAAATTTTTCGAAGATAAAGTTTACCCATAGCCTTACGAACTCAAATATATGATTTTCTCTAAATTCCATACCCAAAATCGTGGTCAAAATCCAAGAATACTAGTTTTCTAGGTTTTCCCTCAAACCCCAAGTTTTCTACAATTTTCCATGTCTAAATCCATATATAAACCTTGTATATACTCAAAACTAGTAGAGATCACTTACCTCATGCTTGGTGATGAAAATGGCACTCCAAAGCTGCTCCAAAATCGGCTCCCGTGGAAGAAATGAAATGAAAATGAGCCAAACTTCGATTTTTAAAAGAACCCCACTGCCTCCAGCAGTTTCCGCATCTGCGGAAAAATGACCACAACTGCGGTCCCGCATCTGCGGACAAATGACCGCATCTGCGGTCCCGCATCTGCGGAAAAATGACCGCATCTGCGGTTATGACAGCAACCAGCACTTTTTCCCGACACGGAAATGAGCATAACTCCCTCATACGATGTCCAAATTCGACGATTCTTTTTGCTATGGCTCCATAATTACGATACGGACCTAATGGTTCAATAAAAACTTAATTTGGAGCTCATTTGCTTAATATGGTACCCCTTTATGTCCAAAGAAACGGCGTTGAAACATCAAATAAGAGCGCGATACAACCCGAAACACACCCGAGGCCCCCGGGACCCCGTCCAATCACACCAACCTACTCCATAACATAACACGGACCTGCTTGAGGCCTCAAATCATACCAAACAACGCTAAAATCATGAAACAACCTCCAATCCAAGCTTTATGAACTTTAGAATTTCAAACTTCTACTTTCGATGTTTAAACATATCAAATCACGTCCGATTGACCCCAAATTTTGCACACAAATCACATTTGACATTACGGACCTATTCCAACTTCTGGAATCGGATTCTGACCCCGATATCAAAAAGTCCACTTCCGGTCAAACTTCTCAAAAACCTTCAATTTTCTATCTTTAGCCAAATGACTCCAAAACAACCTACGGGCCTCCGAATTCACTTCCGATCGCGCTCCAAACTCCATAATCACCATACGGAGCTACTCCCAGACTCGGAACCCCAAACGGACATCGATAACACTGAAATTCACTTCAAAACAAACTTATGAATTTTCTTCCAAAATGCTAACTTCCACAATAGGCGCCAAAACATTCCCGGGTCTTCCAAAACCCGATCCGGACATACGCCCAAGTCCGAAATCATCATACGAACCTGCTGGAACCTTCAAATCCCGACTCCGAGGTCGTTTACTCAAAAATCCAATCTTAGTTAATTCTTTCAACTTTAAGCTTCCGAAATGAGAATTCTCTTTCCAAATCAACTCTGAACTTCCCGAAATTCGATTCCGACCGTGCGTACAAGTCATAATACCTGAAATAAAGCTGCTCATGGCCTCTGACTGACGAACGACGCGCTAGAGCTCAAAACGACCGATCGGATAGTTACAAGCTTCAGGGAGCGAGAGTGTTCTCCAAGATTGATCTCCATTCGGGTTATCACCAGTTGAAGATCAGGGAGTCAAATATACTTAAGACAGCTTTCAGGACCCGATATGGTCATTATGAGTTCTTGGTGATGTCCTTCGGGCTAACCAATGCCCCGGCGGCGTTCATGCATTTGATGAACAGTGTGTTCCGGCCGTATCTCGACTCATTTGTTATAGTCTTCATTGATGATATTCTGGTGTACTCGCATAGTCAGGAGGAGCACACGGAGCATTTGAGAGTGGTGTTACAGAGATTGAGAGAGGAGAAGCTTTATGCAAAGTTCTCCAAATGTGAGTTCTGGCTCAGTTCAGTGGCTTTCTTGGGGCACGTGGTGTCCAGTGAGGGTATTCAGTTGGGCTCGAAGAAGATAGAGGCGGTTGAAAGTTCGCCCAGACCGTCCTCAGCTATAGAGATTCGCAGCTTTCTTGGTTTGGCGGGTTATTATTGCCGGTTCGTTCAGGGATTTTCGTCTATTGCATCGCCCTTGACCAAGTTGACTCAGAAGGGTGTTTCATTTCAGTGGTCTGATGAGTGTGAGGAGAGCTTCCAGAAGCTCAAGTTGACCACAGCTCCAGTGTTAGTATTGCCATCAGCTTCAGGTTCTTATACCGTGTATTGTGATGCTTCGAGAGTTGGTTTTGGGTGTGTTCTAATGCAGGAGGGTAGAGTTATTTCTTATGCTTCTCGTCAGTTGAAGCCTTATGAGAAGAACTACCCTGTTCATGATTTGGAGTTGGCTGCCATTGTTCACGCGTTGAAGATTTGGAGGCATTATTTGTATGGTGTGTCTTGTGAGGTGTATACTGATCATCGTAGCCTCCAGCACTTGTTCAAGCAGAAGGATCTCAATTTGAGGCAGCGAAGGTGGTTGGAGTTGCTTAAGGATTATGACATTACTATCTTGTATCACCCGGGAAAGGCCAATGTAGTGACCGATGCTTTGAGCCGAAAGGCGGTGAGTATGGGGAGTTTGGCGTATATTCCAGTTGGGGAGAGACCTCTTGCAGTGGATGTTCAGGCTTTGGCCAATAGGTTCGTGAGGTTGGATATTTCAGAGGCTAACAGGGTATTGGCTTGTGTGATTTCTTGGTCTTCGTTATATGAGCGCATCAGAGAGCGCCAGTATGATGATCCTCATTTGCTTGTCCTTAAGGACAAAGTTCAGCATGATGATGCCAGAGATGTGACTATCGGTGATGATGGGGTGTTGAGGATGCAGGGTCGGATATGCCCAATGTAGATGGGCTTCGGGAGTTGATTCTAAAGGAGGCCCATAGCTCGCGGTATTCCATTCATCCGGGTGCCGCGAAGATGTATCAGGATTTGAGACAGCATTACTGGTGGAGGAGAATGAAGAAAGACATTGTGGGATTTGTAGCTCGGTGTCTCAATTATCAGCAGGTGAAATATGAGCACCAGAGACCGGGTGGCTTGCTCCAGCGGATGGATATTCCAGAGTGGAAGTGGGAGCGGATCACCATGGATTTTGTAGTTGGGCTCCCACGGACTTTGAAGAAGTTCGATACTATTTGGGTAATTGTAGATCGGCTGACCAAGTCCGCGCACTTCATCCCTATCTGTACTACTTACTCTTCAGAGCGATTGGCAGAGATATATATCCGGGAGATTGTTCGTTTGCATGGTGTCCCAGTTTCCATAATTTCAGATCAGGGCACTCAGTTTACTTCACCGTTTTGGAGGTCTGTACAGCGAGAGTTGGGTACTCAGGTTGAGTTGAGCACAGCTTTTCACCCTCAGACGGACGGGCAGTCCGAATGCACTATTCAGATATTGGAGAAAATGTTACGCGCTTGTGTCATTCATTTTGGAGGGTCATGGGATCAGTTTCTACCGCTCGCAGAGTTTGCTTATAATAACAGCTACCAGTCGAGTATTCAGATGGCTTCATATGAGGCTTTGTATGGGAGACGGTGTAGATCTCCAGTTGGTTGGTTCGAGCCGGGCAAGGCCAGGCTATTGGGTACAGAATTGGTACAGCATGCTTTAGACAAGGTGAAGGTGATTCAGGAGAGGCTTCGTACAGCGCAGCCGATGCAAAAGAGCTATGCCGACAGGAAGGTTCGTGATGTGTCCTACATGGTTGGTGAGAAAGTTCTGTTGAAGGTTTCACCCATGAAGGGTGTTATGAGGTTTGGAAAGAAGGGTAAATTGAGTCCACGGTTCATTGGACCTTTTGAGGTACTTCGGAGGATTGGGGAGGTGACTTATGAGCTTGCCTTGCCGCCCAGCATGTCGGGTGTGCACCCAGTATTCCATGTTTCTATGCTCCAGAAGTATGTTGGGGATCCGTCTCATGTTCTGGATTTCAGCACGGTTCAGCTAGAGGGTGATCTGACTTATGATGTGGAGCCAGCAGCTATTTTGGAGCGTTAGGTTCGGAAGTTGAGATCAAAAGATATAGCTTCAGTGAAAGTGCAGTGGAGAGGTCGGCCCGTAGATGAGGCTACTTGGGAGACCGAGCGGGAGATGCGGAGCAGATATCCTCACCTATTTGAGGCTTCAGGTATGTTTCTTAACTCGTTCGAGGACGAACGTTTGTTTAAGAGGGGGGAGGATGTGACGACCCGGCCAGTCGTCTCATGAGTTACCGCTCCATTTCCCCCATTTCTGCTTCTATTTGCTTTAATTATCGGTTTTATATGTGATCGGGTTGGTTGGTTCGGGTCCGGAAAGGTTTTGAGAAGGTTTGAGACACTTAGTCTATATATCTCTCTGTGACCCCTCAAACTCAAAAGCACTTTCGGTGCACTGGTTGGTGCTGCTGGTATCATGCCAACTACCTGAGTTTGAATCTCTGCAATTTCATAGCTGCTTCCCACGTTTTTTATTTTTCAGTAGGATAATTTAATATGATAGCCCATATTTTAGTTGGAAAATATGGTCAGCCCAAAGGCCCATATTTTTAGCTACTGCCCCATTCCTTTTTTCTTATACTTAGTGTATTTGATTTAGTTTTTTCCAATGGACCCACCCCATTTACTTTTAGTTAAATCCCTAAATCAAAAACTTCTTCTCCAATTATCTCTCTCCACACAGAAAACTTCTTTCCTAATTTTCAAAGCCCACATGCAACCACCAGTTATTAGTCCGCCAGTCCGCCTAAAGCCATCGAGTAATTGTTTCCGTCGTGACACTACTGCCCACAAACATTGTTAAGGTACTGTTACAGTGCACCCGCTATCTTTAAATTCTGGATCCGCCTCTGAATAGAAGTAAAAAAAAAATTGTTAAAGCCACAAATCACTTTCAGTATCATATGTGAAGAAAAAATAACGGAAAGGAATATGCTAATTTCCCACGGCTTTTCCAGCCTTTGTTTAAGAAAAAGGACAAACTAGGCTTTCAAGGTATATTTCCGCCTTGCAATATCCATTGAAATTAATAAACTTAGGATTTTTGAATAAGCCATCCTTGTATATCTTGAAAGTTGATCCAAGCATAACCAAAATTTCACCTTTATTTGACATGAGAAAAGGCGGATTCAAAAAATCATTATTATGATACTCGATGGACAATATTTTCATCCAAGATTCTTTAACCCCATACTCCGTCATAACCCAAAGATCTATATTAGGTCTCCTATATTCAATGACAGATAGATCACTATTCAACACTCCCACCTCCAAAAAATCGGTTCCTTCTCCATAGCAAGGCCCCTCCACCATTTCCCATTTCTCATCAGCCAAATCAAAAGAAATGATGTTCTTGCTGTTACGATTGTAAAAATCAGCATCTGTAGTCCAATGAAGTTTCCCATTCACAAACATCCCTCGACCATTTGCTCGCACACAGCCACCATTATCCCCACTTCTCCAAGAATTACTCTTTAGACTATATATGACCTCGAAACCAGTATTCTTTGGATACTGATAAAACCTAACTACTACCTTATAATCATCATCGAGCTCATCGTATCCAAAACCATATACACGTGGGTAAGCAACCAGCTTCGCAGGTCTAGGATTAGGCAATTTCTTATACTTTCTGATTGATGGATTCCATATAAAATAGTCATTGTTCTGAATGCGGAGACAAATCAACCCATTGACAGAACCTACAAAAGAAAGACTTCTTTCATATGATTTTATGGGACAATCCAAGTCAAAAGCCTTGGTAACAGAATCATAAAATAAAGACCTAAGAGTACATTCTTTAAGATTGTATATATTCTGAGGGTAGGAACTCATAATAACCTTACGGTCGATGTAGTCCTTGTTATTAGCTGATAAGTTAAGATGGGCCTTTATAAATTTATCACCAGAAATTAAAGCAAGCCAAGATTTTGAAACACGCGTGAATCGCAAGAGGGGTTTCACAGGAAGCCTTGAGAGGATTTCAGTAACGAGTTCTGCTGGCAGAATAGGAATTGTCAAGTTTGAATCTTGCCTTAAACCTGATGGATATTGAGCACGCCTTGTGGATTTGCTCGGTTTTAGGTATTGATAGGAGGCTTCATCTACTTTAAACTCCATTAGGGTAGGAAAAAAACTTGAAGTTTGATTTCTTTGGCTATGGAGAAAGGTTTTTACGAGGTTTTGTATATTTTGGTCAGAGTCCTAGCACGAAGCTTCACACCGTGTTTTTGTAGTTTGAGATTTTCCCGAAATTTTAGTAACCTATTGTTAGTAATATTTCTAGGGTTTAGCTAGCCCTTGTGCTTTTATGGTGTAATTTAATATTTTCGGAAAGTATTAAAGTTTTCTATATTGAAATTTATTATGACTAATTGAATCAGGAGATCACGGATTCTAGCGGTGAAAACAGCGGGTAAGACTGCGTACAATTGACCCATGTGGTCCGGCCCTTTTTCGGACCAGGCATGCTGCCCTTTTTTATGGAAAAATCTCACTTTATACCCATTACGCCCAAACTATTTACCCTTTAATACCCAAGCCTAAACTATTTACTTTCCTACCTATGCAACCCAAACTATTTACCCGGCCCACCCATTAGCTATTTGCCTTCTCATTTGAAGTACAGAATGTTAAAAATATTCGGCTTCATTTTTGCAACTTTACCAACTAGAATGGATCTACTTCTTCTCTGTCAGATTGATCTTCATTAAGAGGGTCAACCCAAGCTATTTCTCTACCTCCTTTCCTTATGATTTTTGTGTGTGTATGAAGTCCCACTATTGTTGAGCTTGAAGCTCCTGAATTTAAAATTTTATTTTGAAGATTTATTGTTTGATGCGATGTGGGTGCTATAAAATCTTGCTTATAGTACCTTCGAGTAAGCTTCCCAAATCTGAATTTTTATGTGTGTTTGAATATCCACCATTGTTGGCTTGAAGCTCAATTTTTATTTTTGAACATTTCTTGTTTGTTTCAAAGTGGGTGTTATTAGATATTGCTTATAGTACCTTCTGGAAGTTCATACTGAAATTTGATCACATTTGAAGTTAATTTGAGGTGATTGAGATCGAATCTTCCCGCGATGGTTTTTTACCTTTAATTTTAAGATGTGGATCATTCTTCAATTTTTCGGCACAAGAACAAGCCAAATATCGACGGAGAAAGCTTACAAATCAATCAATCAAAACTTAATCATGAACTCATATAAAGCATATAAAATTAGTAAAGGAAAATAACATATGGAGATCTAACTCTATGAACAATCTTTAGTGAGCATCTATAACTTAAAAGCTAAAAATACTGCACTATTTGCTCACACGTAATGTCTTCATCTTCTTCACTCTACCTTCAACTGCAACCAAAACTTCTCCCATGTGATAGAGCTTTCAAATTGAAAATTATTAAAACTTAAAAAAAGAAAAGATTTCATAAGTATCGACATAGCTTTTCTTGTAACTGACTTTAAATGTACTCGTTTTCGGTTTAGGAGGGTCTCTTTTTTGATAATAACATATTCACTTTCAACTCCACTTGAATTGAGGAATTAGGACTATTAAATTTCACCACAAGAAAAGTTTCAATCGCTTAACTCCTTTTAGGTTTTGGAGTTTTTTTTTTTGGTTAATAAAATTTTGTCGAACTTTCGACTCCATTTAGATTTAGGAGTACTATTAACTCCTTTACTATTTTGAGCCATGTTACGATCCTAAACCCAAACCCGGTCGTGATGGCGCCTCTCGTGAAGACAAGGCCAGCTGACACACTTTCAATTCACTTTAAGCAATCAAAATAACAAATACTAAGTCTTTAATCAGAAATAAAATCCCAAAATATCAGTGAACAGTTTAATTTGCGGAAATAAAAACTAACACAGCCCGACATCGGGGTGTCACTTGTCATGAGCATCTAAAACAATACTACAAGTCTGAAGTCTACTCCACTACTACATAACTGAATCAAAAAGAACTAAGATAGAGGGAGAATGCACTGGGCTGCGAATCGCCAAGCAGCTACCTAGTAAATCTCCGAAGATCTGCTGGAACTATCAACCCTCAGTAGCAGGACCTGTAGCGCCCGAATCTGCGCATAGGGGTGCAGGGAGTAAAGCGAGTACTCCAACTCAGTGAGTAATAAAAATAAATGAAGACTGAGCGATATAAAATCACGTTAAACACAACATTCAACTATAAGAGGTACAATAAAATCAGTAAATATAATTAAGCAGGGAAATCTCATAATCATCTTTTAAGCAGTTAAACAATTAAAGGAAAAGCAGCTAGAAAGGTAAACTCAAGAACTGCCCCTCGGGCTCAGTAACAACGACAGAATCAGCCCCTTAGGCAATATCACAGAACAATACCAGCTCCTCAGGCTATATCTCATATCACAATGGGTACCCGCGCTCACTAGGGGTGTACAAACTCCGGGAGGGTCCCCTTACGGCCCAAGCGCAATATCAATCCATCTCGTGGCATCATAAACAGGCTCTCGGCCTCATATCAATCTCAATCCACCTCGTGGCGTACAATCTCAGGCCCTCGGCCTCATTATCATAATCAGTATATCACTACTGCGGTGTGCAGCCCGACCCAAAAGTATCCTCATAACACAAGCCCTCGGCCTTACTCAGTCAGAATCTCATAAGCCCCTCGGGCAACAGTAAATTACATTTGAGTCTCCAACAATTATTCCAATAATGACATATCCGATTTGACCTATGGACGAATATGCAAGCATACGTTCCATGCTTGTTTGAGTAATAGCAATGTATGAAGCTCAGCTCAAATATCTTTGAAAATATCATTTAAAGGGTTTTAAATAGAATAACATAGCTGAGTTTTTGAAAACATGGAAAATATGGCATGACTGAGCACCAGCAGGAAATAAAACAGTGAGGCAAATATCATTTAAAAATCCCCTTAGGGTTCAAACAGTTGGCATGAAGCCCACATATGGCATTTAGCCCAAAATATAATAATATCAACAAATAACTGTCAAATACGCAGTAAAATAGTCATTCGGGATGGACTAAGTCACAATCCCCAACGGTGCTCGACCCCGCGCTCGTCATTTAGCGTGTGTCACACCTCAACATAGCCGAACGATATAAAATCCGGGGTTTCATACCCTCAGGACAACATTTAAAAGCATTACTCAACTCAATCCGGCCCGAAGTTTAGTTCGACATGCCCTTGCCCTTCGAATCGATCTCCGGATGCTTCGAATCTACCAAAATCAGAACGTAGCCATTAATTTATGCTAAAGGGACGAAGCCCCCTCGAGATTATTCGAAAAACATCACAAATCCCGAAATTACCAAAACCCGGCCCCCGGGCCCACGTCTCGGAATTCGCTAAAATTAACATTACTAGGTTCCGTATCTCCCCACGAGTTCACACATATAAAAAGTTCCAAAATCCGATCACAAATGGTCTCCCAAAACCTCAATCAACGGCCTAGGTTTCTAAACCCTAGTTTCTCAAACTTTACCTTTAATTACAGCTCTAATCGATGCATTAACACCATAGAATCGAGTTTTTAAGTCCAAAATTCTTACCTCAATGAGTTCTCCTTGAATTCTCTCTTCAAAATCGCCCAAAGCTTTCAAATTCGTGTTTAAAAAGTGAGAAAACCTTCTGAAACTCGCGAAGGAACTAACATATATTTTCTGTCTAGACATTTCCGCATCTGCGGCCATTTCAACGCATCTGCGGTACCGCTTCTGCGGTCCCCACTTAAATCTGCATTTCCCGCATCTGCGGTTCCATATCCGCACCTGCGCCATCGCAAGTGCGGTTCTTCGAATCGCATCTGCAGTTTTCTGTCTTCCTAGCTCCCTTCCACTTCTGCGGCTCCTCTTTCGCATATGCGGCGTCGCACCTGCGGTCCCCAATCCGCAGGTGCGGAAATACCAGAAGCAGCACAATCTGCAGCTGCAACAATTCCTCAAACTCCCCGTCAACCATCCGAAATCACCCCGAGGCCCCCGGGACCTCAACCAAAAGCACAAACATATCCCATAACCTTATTCAAACTTGTACCAATCTTCAAAACACCTCAAACGACATCAAATACACCAAAACTCATCGAATTCAAGCCTAAGGTTCTAAATTCTTCCCCATTCCTCTTTTGATCAAAAACCCAACCAAACCACGTCCAAATGACCTGCAATTTTGCACACACATCCCAAATGCCATAACGGAGCTACTGAAACGTTCGGAATTCCATTCTGACCCCTATATCAAAATCTCACCTATCAACCGGAAAACGCCAAAAACTCAATTTCGCCAATTCAAGCCTAAATCTACTCCGGACCTCCAAAACATATTTCAATCACGCTCCTAAGTCCCAAATCATCTCCCCAAGCTATCCGAACCATCAGAACTCACATCTGAGCCCTCTAACACATAAGTCAACATCCGGTTAACTTTTCCAACTTAAACTTTCTTAAATGTCAAAAAGAAAATATGCATCTGGTTATTCAAAAATACAAAAGAAAAGAAAAGTTGAAAATTTAATAAAATAAAGTAGCTCTTGACAAATTTTTGACAAACAATAAAAAATAAGGGAAGAATGACACTGTTACCCACAAAAACAAAACTATTTACCCTTGTCTACCCATTTGTTTTTCTACCCATAAACTAATTATATTTTCTATCCATAGTAGTTTTTTAGGGGAATTTTTTCTTTATTCTCCAATTCTTTTTTATTTCTATGCTTCTTTTCTTTTCTTTTCTTTTCTTTTTTCTTTTCTTTTCTCCTTTTTTTCTCGTTTTCTTCTTATTTTTTTATTTTTTCTTTTCTAATTGCATTTAACTTCTTTTTTTATATTCTTTTTCTCTTCATAATCTAATTTCATTTACTTTTTTCACTATTTTTTATTATTTTTTTTATACTACTACTAAAGAAAAATCAACATGTGGACCAATTAAATGTAGCTAATACAACCAAAAAATATTAACTAACATATGATACCAGCTATACCAACAGGGTATACAATTGTACACAAAGAGTAAAAAAAAATTCTTGTTTTGAGTTTCAAAATAACCACAAACCTAATTTATGAGTTTCAAAGCTTTAAGGTCCTTATACTAATGTTTTGCAGAAGTCAAAGTCTT